CTACTGATATGATGACCAAATAAATTCCATTTTGGGCATGTTTTTTTTTTCAAAGGTGTAAAATAAAATTATATTTAGAGTTTATGATTCATGAAAAAAGTGTCGCCTGCTTGCACGCTGCCCACAGCTCCACCCACTACCCACTCACTCACAAGCTCGTTTAGTTAGCACTGCATGTTTACCAGGCATTGTTGCTGCTGCTGACATGTCGAAAAGAAAAAAACAACTTACCTTGCGCAATTTCTTTAAAAAGACGGCCAAACAGACGAGTGCGCCGTGCCTTTCACGCACCGCCTTCCCTGTGTTTACCTTCAGAATCATTAGAAAGGCTAAAGAGCGGTGTGGCTGATGTGTTTTCACCACACACACCTCTACACACACACACGATTTAAACGCAGACTTTTGTTCCTCCATGTTACGTTGTTATTGTTTCACTGAGCGGACCCGCACATTTTTTTCAAACGCTCCCCTTTTTGGTCCATCTGCGCGGTTTTGTGCGCTGTGATGATTCGGCTGTACCTTTAGTAATGAATATTAAATGTTGTGAGGAAATCTTTCCACCAATAATTCCAATAAGTAATCCAAAATGTATTCACTTCAGGTTTACGAAAGTAACTGTAATCAGATTACTCGTTTTTCAAATGTAACGCGAGCTGAATACAGTTACTTGATTTTTGTATTCTGATTACGTAACACCGTTACATGTATTCCGTTACAACCCAACCCTGGCCACACCCCACTGGGCTGGGCTGGGCCGGAACACTTACAAATGTGGGCCGGTAGGATTTCAACTTTTTTTTTTTTGGCCCTCCGGCCCACACACAGCACCGGCCCACCGGGGAAACTCCCGGTACTCCCAATGGCCAGTCCGCCCCTGGCTCCAACAGTATACATATAATTTTTTGAGCGAGGTAATTTCACCTTTGCAGCCATTGTGTACCCAACAATGTTCGTAGAGTTACGTTTAGGGTTAGGGTTACAGTTAATTGTTGACATTTAGGTCATCTTAAAGTGTATTTTTAAGTAAATCAGGTGCACTTTGTTCCACCTTTCATGTGTCAATTCTGGATCTAAATAATCCAAGATGGTGAATGGCAAAAACGGACAACTCGTTGGGTGACGTCAAGGCGACTTTTACGCTTTGAATTGCCTTGTGTTGAAAAGTGCTATATAAATAAACTTGCCTTAAAAAAGTCTTAATAGGTCTCTATAAAAAGGTTTTCAAACTAAATCGGCTATCCATGGTGGCATCACTGTGATGAACCGGGGATATTTTTCAGAAACGAGTAATTTATACAAATGTTTCCAACTGTTTTTTTCCTTTCAAAAATACATCAACATTAAGTCACTGAAATGTGTTTGTCAACCACGTAGGATGTTACAATCAACGTTTATTTATATAGCCCAATATCACAAATGTTACATTTGTCTCAGTGGACTTCACAGTTTGTACAGAATATCAGTATGACAATACGACACACTCTGTCCTTAGACCCTCACATCGTACAAGGAAAAACTTCCGGAGAAAACCCACAGTTTAAAGGGAAAAATGGGAGAAACCTCAGGGAGAGCAACAGAGGAGGGATCCCTCTCCCAGGATGGACAGACGTGCAATAGATGCCGTGTGTAAATTGAAAAGATAATACATTTGCAACATAGGTAGTCCAAATGTTTGGAAATGCATGTGTGTATAATAGGAAGATGAATCCACGAGGATATCCATCCAGGACTTATGATCCAGGGCCACAGCCACGACTCAAGATCCAGGGCTCGGAATCCGGGACACAGGACCGCAGCAACAGGATCATCCATGACTCCGGATCCCGGCGTATATAGACACCAAAAAGAAATACATTTGGGGAAGCTGGGTTAATCGGAACATGAGAGTACACAGGTATAGACAGAGAGAAGGAAGAAGTAAGATGTCCCCCGACAAACTAAGCCTATATCAGCAAAACTAGGGGCTGAATCTAATCAGCCCTAACTATAAGCTTTATCAAAAACGAAGGTCTTAAGCGCACTCTTAAAAACGGATAGGGTGTCTGCCGCCCGAACACAAACTGGAAGCTGATTCCACAAATGTGGAGCTTGATAAGAAAAGGCTCTCATTGTACTTTTAGAGACTCTAGGAACAACCAACAACCCTGCATTCTTGGACCGCAATGCCCTAGTAGGACAGTAGGGGTTCTTTAAGGTAAGATGGTGCCTGCTCATTAAGGGCTTTGTAGGCGAGAAGAATCATTTAAAATTATATCCTATGTTCTAGAGGGAGCCAGTGACACGAAGGACTTGCAAAGACTCAAATGCACGATTCTTCCTTGATTTAAAAAAATACCTTTTATTATCCAAAAAAAGGTTTAGGATCAACTTGGACACTGTTCGCTAGGTTCAACTAATAGTACAAGAAAAGTCTTTACAAAGAAAAAGGTTTCTAGGATCTACTAGGACTACTAAATAGTTCACTAGGTTCGACTAGCTCAAAGTGTGCATGAGAGAGTACAGACATGGACTTGGTAGACAAGACGAACCGACGAAAGACAACAGGAGAACAGGGCTACATATACACAACAGTTAATGAGGCACAGGTGCAAACAATCCAGAACAGGAGATCACAATCAAGCTGGCAGGTGACACACAACGACAGGAAGTGATGACACCTGAAACGAGAGGACAGAGCCAACATCAAAATAAACTGCAAGGCCACCAGAATAAACACAAAACAATAAGCTAACAGAACTCTAACGCTGAAACCTTACAGTACCCCCCCTCCCCCTCGAAGTTGCTCCGGCACAAACAAGTGATTCTGAGGACACCCTCTTGGGACAGGATTTCCGCTGTTTGCCTGTTTGACCTTGGCTTCAATGGGCCAGGTCACACTCCCTATCACTCGGTCTGGCCGCAGAATGGGGTCTGGACTCTTGGGGACTGGCTCAGGATCATACATTCTGGAGAGTGCATCACGCTTTCCATTCTGCGAACCAGGTCGATATGACAGAGTGAACCTAAATCTATTAAAGAACAAAGCCCATCTGGCCTGCCTAGAGTTCAGACGTTTGACCTTCCTGATGTATTGCAGGTTTTTGTGATCCGTCCAGACCAGGAAATCCTGCTCCACTCCCTCCAACCAGTGCCGCCACTCCTCCAAAGCAATCTTCACAGCCAACAGTTCCCGATTTCCCACGTCGTAATTCCTCTCAGCAGAAGATAGCTTACGGGAGAGATATGCACACGGATGAAGCTTGTTGTCCCCCGCTGACCTCTGGGACAGTATAGCTCCAACGCCGTCGTTGGAGGCGTCCACTTCCACCACAAACTGTCGGTGGCGATCAGGTACAATCAGGATGGGAGCTGTGGTGAACCTCCTCTTCAGTTCCAGGAAAGATTTCTCTGCCTGTGGATTCCACACAAACTGAACATGGGGAGAGGTAAGGGCATGGAGAGGAGAGGCAATAGCACTGAAATTGCATATGAAACGTCTGTAAAAGTTAGCAAACCCCAAGAATTGCTGAACTTTCTTTCTAGAGTCTGGCGTTGGCCAATTAGCCACGTCACTGACCTTAGCTGGGTCCATTTCCACCTTGTTAGGGGAAATCACAAAGCCCAAAAATGCCACAGAGTTCATATGAAACTCACATTTTTCGGCTTTTACAAACAAATGGTTAGCCAGGAGTCTCTGAAGAACAAGGTGAACATGGTTAACATGAGTTTTCTTATCTGGAGAAAAGATGTGAATATCATCGAGATACACAAAACAGAAAACATTCAGGAAATCTCTTAACACATCATTAATGAGGGCTTGGAAAACAGCAGGTGCATTACAAAGTCCAAAAGGCATCACCAAATATTCGTAATGTCCCGTAGGTGTATTGAAACCTGTGTTCCACTCATCCCCCTCCCGGATGCGCACAAGGTGATATGCATTCCTTAAGTCAAGCTTGGTAAATATCTTAGCTCCCTGTAACAGTTTGAATGCCGTAGAGATGAGTGGAAGGGGATATCTGTTCTTAACTGTGATCTGATTTAGTGGACTGTAATCAATACAGGGCCTTAATGAACCGTCCTTTTTCCCCACAAAAAAGAAACCTGCTGCTGCTGGGGATGATGATGGCCGAATCAAGCCAGCTTTGAGTGATGATCCGATATACTCTTCCATGGCCTCCCTTTCAGGACCAGAGAGAGAGTACAACCGTCCTTTGGGGATAGTAGAGCCCGAGAGAAGGTCTATGGGGCAATCATACGGTCTATGGGGAGGCAAGGAAGTAGCTCGTGTTTTGTGAAACACCTCCTTAATGTCAAGATAACACTCTGGCACTTTGGATAAGTCAGGAAAGTCAGAATGTTTAGAAGAAGTGACACTGTCCCTATCTGACGCCTGTTTAAAGTTCCTAGATCTGTGCGGTCCACTCAAAACTGTATGAGAGGCTACACATGAACGAGAGCACTCACTCCCCCACCCCTTAACCTTTCCTGTAAGCCAGTCCATGTGAGGGTTATGTTTAACAAGCCAAGGGTAACCCAAAATGAGAGGATGTTGAGCTGAGTTCAATAAATGAAAACTAATATGCTCACGGTGCTCCTGATCTATGACAATTACTATGGGCTCCGTGCGATGAGTAACTGTACATAAAAGGCGGCCATCCAACGCGCTAGCCTCTAATGGCTGATCTAAAAGGACAATGTTTAAGTTCAACTCTTTAGCCAGCTCCCAGTCTAACAAGCTCTCATCAGCCCCAGAATCAATTAATGCATCCTGAGTCACAGTGTTATCATTCAGTTTCATTTGTACCTGAGTCAGTCTTCTCGAGGAAGGGTCGAAAGAAGTCACTCGCCTCACCAGCGTCCCTCTTCCCGCTGATGAGCCTGATCTTTTGCCGGACAGGCTGCCAGAACATGACCCTGCTGGCCGCAGCAGAAACACCGCCGCTCCCGTAGGCGGCGCTGACGGTCCTCCGGGGTGAGTTTGGCTCTTCCGAGCTGCATCTGTTCCTCCGCGGCGATAGGGGGCGCTGGTCGCTCTGGAGACGAAGTCCGGGTATTTCTCCGCCAACCGTAGTGTTCCCTCTGTAACTCCCGTCCGAACAGTGGAGTGGAAGCTGCATTCTCCCCTCTCTCCCGACGTCTCTCTGCTAGACGTTGGTCCACCCGGATAGCCATGGCGATGAGCGAGTCCAATTCTACAGGCAACTCTAATGGAGCTAACTGATCCTTTATGGGATCCGCTAATCCGTGCAGAAACGCATCAAAAAGAGCCGCTGAGTTCCATCCACTCTCCGCTGCCAGGGTCCGGAATTCGATCGCGTAATCCGCCACTCTCCTCTGCCGTTGTTTGATGTTCACCAGGGCTCTCGCTGACTCTCTCCCAGGTGCTCTCTGGTCAAAAATGTTTTTCATAGAATCCATGAATAGCCTTAACGAAACAGGCGAGTCTCGGACCCATTCTGCTGTTGCCCAGGCTCCCGCTCTACCCGTCAAGTGAGATACTATGAAAGCTACCTTAGCTTGATCTGTGGGAAATGCTGCGGGCTGATGTTTGAAATGGAGATCGCACTGTACCAGGAATGGATGACAGTTTCCAGAATCCCCGGAGAACTTCTCCGGTGAAGCGAGGCGGAGTGTAGACGATGGCATGGGTATTTGAACGGGGATCTCAGCAAACCCGACCTCCGCTGAACCAGAAAACTCTGCCGCAGGAACAGCAGGACGTGCCTCGAGGTGCGTAAGTATGTCACGCATTTTCTTCGCCAGGTGATTTATTTCCGTTGTCACTGTTGACTGGAAGTTGTGCTGACGGGCATTTAAGTCCTGAACCCCTTGATTCATTGTTGTCAGCTGTTCCTCATGTTGATGCAGGAGTGTTCCTTGCGCCTGCAAAGCCGTCTTTAACACGGTGGAATCGGCTGAGTCCATCTTGTTTGGTCGGTTCGTTCTGACACGAAGGACTCACAAAGACTCAAATGCACGATTCTTCCTTGATTTAAAAAAATACCTTTTATTATCCAAAAAAAGGTTTAGGATCAACTTGGACACTGTTCGCTAGGTTCAACTAATAGTACAAGAAAAGTCTTTACAAAGAAAAAGGTTTCTAGGATCTACTAGGACTACTAAATAGTTCACTAGGTTCGACTAGCTCAAAGTGTGCATGAGAGAGTACAGACATGGACTTGGTAGACAAGACGAACCGACGAAAGACAACAGGAGAACAGGGCTACATACATGTATACACAACAGTTAATGAGGCACAGGTGCAAACAATCCAGAACAGGAGATCACAATCAAGCTGGCAGGTGACACACAACGACAGGAAGTGATGACACCTGAAACGAGAGGACAGAGCCAACATCAAAATAAACTGCAAGGCCACCAGAATAAACACAAAACAATAAGCTAACAGAACTCTAACGCTGAAACCTTACAGCCAGTGTAAGGCAGCCAGAACAGGAGTAATGTGGTCCCTTTTCCTAACTCTGGTTAATACACGAGCTGCAGCATTTTGAATCAGCTGAAGCGACTTAACTGACTTCTTGGTACACCCTGATAATAAGGAGTTACAATAATCCAGCCTTGAAGTAACAAATGCATGGACTAGTTTCTCTGCATCGTTTTGAGGCAAGATATGTATGATATATATATATGATTTTTGCAATGTTACGTAGATGGAAGTAGGCGGTCCTTGAAATTGATTTTATGTGGGCGTTAAAGGATAAATCCTGATTAAATATAACACCAAGATTCCTTACTGTCTCAATGGAGGCCAAATTAATGCCATCCATAGTTAGTATATCTTTAGATAGTTTGTTTAGTAGATTCTTCGGGCCGAGTACAATAACTTCAGTTTTGGTCGTGTTTAACGTTTAACATTAACGTTTTTAAGTCCTTGAGGCAGTCTTTAATTTTATTTAGATGATTAATTTCATCAGGCTTGATTGATAAATATAGTTGAGTATCATCCGCATAACAATGACAATTTACGGAATGATTCCTTATAATATTGCCTAACGGAAGCATATATAATGTGAACAAAATAGGTCCGAGCACTGAGCCCTGTGGCACTCCATGGCTAACTTTGGTTTGCGTGGAAGATTCATCGTTGACACGTACAAACTGAGAGCGTTCAGATAGATAGGACCTAAACCAGCCTAAAGCAGTTCCCTTTATGCCAACTAAGTGCTCTAGTCTTTGCAATAAGATATCATGGTCGATAGTATCAAATGCAGCACTGAGATCGAGCAAAACAAGAATAGAGACAAGTCCCTTGTCTGAGGCTATTAGAATGTAATTTGTGACTTAGAGCTGTCTCTGTGCTATGATGTGTTCTAAAGCCAGACTGAAAATCTTCAAATAAATCATTGTTTTTTAAGTAATCACACAACTGTTTTGCGACTGCTTTCTGAAGAACTTTTGAGAGGAACGGAAGATTAGAAATAGGTCTATGGTTGGCTAAAACCTCTGGATCAAGGTTGTGCTTTTTAAGAAGCGGTTTTATCACTGCTACTTTGAATGATTGTGGAACATAGCCTGATAATAAAGACATATTCATAATATTTAATAAAGAAGTGCTAATTAATGGAAAAACTTCCTTCAACAGCTTAGTTGGAATTGGGTCTAAGATACACGTTGATGGTTTAGAAGAGAGAATCATTGAATTGAATTGTTCAAGGTTTATGGCTGAAAAGCATTCTAGTTTACTATCTAGTGTAATATTAGAACTTACGTTTCCGGGAGCTGTTGATAACACTATACTGGTCAAAGGCAAGAGGTCATTAATTTTGTTTCTAAGAGTAACAATTTTATTGTTAAAAAAGCACATCAAATCATTACTACTGAGTGCTATGGGAATAGAAGGCTCAATCGAGCTGTGGCTTTCTGTCAGCCTGGCTACAGTGCTGAAAAGAAATCTTGCATTATTCTTATTCTCATCTATTAATGAAGAGTAGTAGGCTGCTCTCGCTTTACGCAGTGCTTTCTTATATTCATTGAGAGTAATATGCCAAATTAAACGAGATTCTTCAAGTTTAGTGGAACGCCATATCCTTTCAAGTTGTCTCGACTTTTGCTTTATTTTACGGGTTTCGGCATTATGCCATGGAGCTAATCTATGTTGTTTTATTTTCTTCTTTTTCAAAGGAGCAACAGAGTCTAATTGTATTCACAGCACATCTGTAGCACTATCAACAACATGATCAATTTGGGGTGGTGTACATTTTGTATAAGTTTCCTCCCTTACATATAGACATGCTATCGAGTTAAGTATTGGTGGAATCTCTTCCTTAAATTTGGCTATAGCACTAACAGATAGGTTTCTGCTGCAGGAGCTTTTGACTAATGCTTTGTAGTCTAGTAACAGTACTTCAAAAGTTACTAAGAAATGGTCGGATAAAGCAGGATTATGCGGTTCGACTAATAGTTGCTCAATTTCAATACTATAAGTCAGAACAAGGTCGAGAGTGTGATTATAGCAGTGGGTTGGTTTATTTACACTCTGACGGAAACCAACAGAATTTAATATAGAGTTAAATGCAACAGTAAGGCTATTTTTATTATCGTCAACATGAATATTAAAGTCACCTACGATAATTACTTTATCTGTTTTAAGTACCAAAGTTGATAAAAACTCAGAGAATTCTGATAAGAATTCTGAATAAGGACCTGGTGCACGGTACACTGTAACAAATAAGATTGGCTGCAAAGTTTTCCAGGTCGGATGCGTAACGGCCCGTCCACACTACAGCTTCGACAGCTTCAAAAACGGTTTCCAACGCTTCTGCCCATTCACTTTGAATGGGGTGACGTCACTTTTCGCCGAACTGCATTGTGGGAAGCAGAGCGGAGCTTTCCTGACGTTTCAGGCTGCAAAAGTTGAGCAATGTTCAACTTTTGAAGCTTCTGAAGTTTTCGGTGGAAGCGTCAGCCAATCAAATCATATGCCAGTACAAGCTCAAGCCAATCAAACCGCTGCTTGTGTGTCAGGGGCGAGAGATTCATGTGATTGGTTGTTGGTCGAGCTTCAGACACGCCGAGCTCCAAGCTTTTATTGAAGCTGTAGTGTGGACGGCCCGTAAGACTAAAAACGAGACTTTCAAAGGAGGTATAATTTAATTTTGGTTTAGTATTGATAAGTAAACTTGAGTCAAAAATGGCTGCAACTCCACCTCCTCGGCCTGTGCCACGGGCAATATGAGTATTGATATGGCTGGGTGGAGTGGCCTCATTTATGCTGACATATTCTTCATGTCTCAACCAATCACGGCTGAAATCACCAGGTAAATCTGAGCATGCTGGGATATCACATTGAGAAAATCCTGCTGTATCATTAGTTCACTGCACTAATAAGCTGCATTCTCTCCCAAATCATAGTGGCTTTGTTTTCCCTTTCCTTATTCTGTCTAATAAAAACACAAACAGACAGGAAACAGGAGCAATGCCACAAAAAATGCGTGGAAGTGGAAAATCACAGTTGGATGGGAAGAGGTACCTAACATTGAACATGTTTTATCCCTGATAGTAGTCAGTAACTTCCGCCTAAGATAAACCAGATATAGTCATCAACTTTATTTGAATTACCATTTCTTGCAATCTACAGGTATCCCTCTCCCTCAGGAGCTCGGAGGGTTAATCGGGGGGATTGGGCTCCCCTGGGATCACTGTCTTACTTCTCTTTATAAGCTGAGAGCAATGTATTGCTTGGTCTGGTGCCATTTGCTGTGCTTTAAGTTATACTTTTTGGGGGTATTTAGTCATCCCAATAACCTTGTTCCATCCCTGTGTCCAGTTGTCACAACATGTCTCTGGTAAAGTCTATAGGCGCTTTCACACCGGAGTACTTTTACCCGTACTTTTCCCGTTTAGTTCCGATAGTGCCTGGAATTTTGCGTTCACACCAAAAAGAGAACTTAGTTCTGAGAACTTTTACCCCCATTTCTAGTGCCTGTGGTACTATCCTGGGAAGAAAAAAGTACCAATTTCGATTGGCTGGGCGAATTGCAAACCACGCACCGTAAAACTCTGAAACGTTTTGTGAAGCCGCCATTGTATTTACTGGCATTAGAGCATTATTAGCATTAGCCCCACGCACCAAAGGAGAGAGAATAACTTATGGCAACACAAAAAAAACATTGGAGCGGTGGAGTGATGAGGAGGTGTCGGCGTTCTGGCGATTATCCCGGAAGGCTTCAGTAGAAGCCAGTCACTTCCGGCCGGGGACTTCGGGCGGCAGTATACGCCGTAAAGTGGTTTGCGGCCTGCCAGTAAACCCAAAGCAGAAGAAGAAGAAGTGACGTCAGCGGCTTCATTTGCGAAATCTTCCCTCAGGGAATTTATTCCGGTGTGAACGCGATCTGTACTTAGTTCCATGGGGGTACTAAGTGCTGGGTATTAAGTGCTGGGCACTAAGTACGGCAAAGTACTTGGTGTGAAAGCGGCTTATGTCTAACACCAGAGATGGCAAAAGTACACACATCCTTTACTAAAGTAGAAGTACAGATACTCATGTTTAAAAATACTCTGGTAAAAGTAGAAGTACTGACTAAACTTCTTTACTCAAGTAAAAGTAAATAAGTATGGGCTTCGAAATGTACTTAAGTCAAAAGTCCCCATACCAGCTGTTTTAAAGAGTACCTGACCTCACTTTATATTAATAAAACAATAATGTCATTGTTAGCTAATGAATGTTTCCATGCTGAACAACGGCAAAATGACAACGTTTTCATTGGTCCCTCT